TCGAACGTCTGATCCTTCTATTCGAGATAAGAGCTCTGAGGAATCAAATAATGAGACTCAAATTCCCAGGTCAACCGGAGAAGTAGGTGAATACGTAGAAGCTAAATGTCGGATGGAAATCCCAATGTATAATTGTTTTCGATTTATTTTTGGCCTTTTGCAGGTTTATGGAATCCGAAGTAAAACTGCACAAAACTCTGCAAGAGCTTCAAATTGTAGCAGTAACTAATCTAACCAATTTGTATTATATGTCAATGGTAGAGTTAGGCGCCGTACCTTCTTTACTAGAATTGTTGTCTCATGAAAATACTGATATAGCAGTTGGTGTGGTAGATCTTCTGCGGGAATTGGCTAAAGAAGGTATATTACACGAATTTCAAGACGCGGATACACTTATCGATGCTTTGTTGGAGCAACAAGTTTGCGCTCTCCTAGTACAAAATCTCGAGAGGCTTGATGAAACAGTGAATAAAGAGGACAGCGGTGTTTATAACACAATTGGTAATTACTTAATAAACGTGCATATCGTTTATCTTTCTGCAAAATAATGTTTCTACTAGATTAACTCAACGACGGTTTTGATTTCCAGACATTTTTATGAACCTACTGGATTTTAGACCAGATCTATGTGCGGATGCGGGAAAGCAGGGTCTAATACAATGGTTGTTACGTCGATTTAAAATTAATACAAAAACACCTTTTGACGGGAACAAATGGTTAGCCAGTTTACTCCTATCTACACTTTTGCAGCATACGCCAGAAAATAGACTCCTTTTAGGTGACTTGAATGGAATTGATGTTTTGCTACAACAATTAACTGTATGTATTTGTATGTTTCTAAGCCCTTGCATATAACATTACCAAGCTGAATTATCTTAAAACCGATTATTTACAGTATTTACAGAGTCACGATCCGCAGACTGCACAGGAACATAAGACGAATGAAGACATAATTGAACATTTGTTTAACGTTTTGTGCTCAAGCTTAATGGCTACTGTAAATCGAAATAGATTTCTGCGTGGCGGAGGCCTCCAAATTATGAACTTAATGTTACGAGAAAAAAAGATGTCATGGGATGAATCTCTCAAAGTGGGTTTATTCGCAACAGACTTTTGGATTTATATAAATTACTATAATTAAATTATAGGTTTTAGATCACGCTATGAATGGCCCGGACGGAAAAGATAACTGCAGCAAATTTGTAGATATTCTTGGATTGCAAACTATATTTCCTCTGTTTATGAAAACCCCAACACTCAATAGAAAAAGAATGCTTACTGCAGAAAGTATGGTTTCGATATATCTATTAATATTAGTAAGCAAAATTTCAACTTATTTATAGCGAAATAATAAATAATTAATTTTGCAGAACACGTGATTTCAATCATAGCAAGCTTATTAAAGAACTGTAAAGGACAACAGCGTCAAACATTACTTAGTTATTTTACGGAGAATGATTATGAGAAAGTGGATAGATTAATGGAATTACATTTCAATTATCTTGAAAAGGTAGAAGAAGTGAAAAAGAATGGGAAGGTACGTGCACAATGAAGAACATTTAACAGAGACATCTAAAAATGAAGACGTATAAAAATTTACACTCTCTTTTTATTTTTATCATAAGGACGATGAAGACGAAGAAAAATCGTACTCGAGAAAATTAGACGGCGGGTTATTTATATTACAGTTAGTAGATTATGTACTTTTAGAAGCTTGCACTTCCGAAGATTGTCCGCCTGCAGTCAAGGAACGAGTGACAAGAATCTCGGCGCAGAGATCCCTTAAAACAATTTGCCACATCATGAGAGGTAAATTATATACAGTATAAAATCTATCTACATATTTAATCGTATTAACAATGTATTCATTCACATGTTTTTTGTTTCAAAACCAGAATACGCCGGTAATTTAGGAGATGCCGGTGATACCGAATGGAAAGAAGCAGAGCAACAACGTATCTTACAATTAATTGACAAATTTTGATATGACTTTTCACATAGAAGACATTAGGGATGTTGCAGAATTTGAAAATCTATTGCAAGAAGATTTAAATAAGATACTGGAATTGATTGAGAAAAGTGAAATTCTTGAAATCAGTACTCATCAGTTGTTTTCGTCACCACTTATGACAGATAAATTTACGTTGGCTGGTAGTGATTCATAAAATAATATACATAATACAGGATAAGGATATTTTTTTATTTAATTAATAAACATGGTTTTTTCTTTTCTATAATTATAACTTTGAATTTTTATATATGTAAGAATTTTATATGCAAATAAGTATTAATACAAATTAAAAATAATTCATGATTTGAGTTTAGATGTACGAATAAAACTATTATTAATTATATTTATATAAATTAAAAACTATTGAATTTTACTTATTATACTTATACTTATTAGTTTAGTTATAGGTTTCTCAAGTCTACAGGTTGACCTAGAACAAAAGGAAATGGAAAATAAGAATCCTTACAAACCTATGTTATCTATAAATGTTTTATTTAATTTTATCAGTTCTATATTGTATTAAGAATTTCCAGTTCTGTAGATCATCTTGTGCATATTACAGTGTCAGAATTTTTAGCACCTACCTTTTCAACGAGCAAGTTATCTTTCATAAATTTAAACTCAATTTTTGTTGTTTAATGTTTATCGCAATTATACGTTTTCGATGTTGTTCATTAATTGTTGATCATTAATTGGAGTTCAATAAAATGCGATTAAATTAAAACAATCAAATTCTTAATTATTTCTTAATATACATACGTAGATATACATATATATATATATATATATATATATATATATATATATATATA